GGTCTGTGGCAGCAAATAGTCCTCTGATTTCTGCAGTTCCACATCTTCTGGGCAGCTCGACCATCCTAGAAAGGTGGATCATGTCTTCTGGGAGCCAAGTCTGTCATTGTCATACTGGAATGGACCCAGCTCCACCTCCTGTCCCTTGAGCCGATGAGTGAGTGAATGAATGAATGGATTGATGAATGGATGGAGCTATCACGTCACGGCAGGGTAAACAGCACTTGGCCCTAAGAGCAAGAGTGACAGGGTAACAGGAGCACAGGTTTTGGTATCAGACAGTGTGATGTCCACCACTTCCTAGCTCTGTGACCTTCAGCAATGGCTTACCTTATGGAGTCCCTATTCCCTTGGCAGCAAAATGGTGACTATTCAGATCTAAAGATAAATATGTAAAGTTTCCAGCATCTAATGGGTGCTTAATGTAGGAGTTCCTTCTCCTTTCCATCCTGGACTTCTGAGCTTTATTCCTTTATCCCTTCTAAGCAACAGCTAACATCAGAGAAGCCCCCACCAGCTGGTAGGCCCTGGGGGCTAGTGGCTTTCCCATACATCAACTGGGGTAACCATCACTCTCATCCTACAGTGGGGAGGCTGAGGTCAAATACCCTCCTGCATTAGTTCACTAGGGCAGTCGTAACCAAGTGCCACAAAGCAGTCAGCTTAAAAATAACAGAAACTGCTTGTCCTCTAGGCCTGGGGGCTGGAATCCACTAGTACACTAAAACCTATGCTCCTTCTACCCTGTTATGCCTGCAGCTTAGGGCCAAGGGCTGTTTACCTGTCCTATAGCCCCATTCATTCGTTCATTCATTCACTCACTTATCTGCTTAAGAGACAGGAGGTGGAGCTGGGTCCATTCCAGTAAGGCAGCAACAGACATGGCTCCGAGAAGGCATGATTCACCTTTCCAGGATGGCTGCATTACCTGGAAGACTGTGGAACTGCAGAAATCAGTAGACAATTCACTGCCACAGGGTTGGTTCCTTCTGAGGGCTGGGAGGGAGATCTGTTCCAAGCTTCCTCCCAGCTTCTGGGGTTGCTGGACATCCTTGGTGCTCTTTGGATTGTACATGCACCACCCCAATGTCTGCCTTCACCATCCCGTGCCATTCTCCCCATGTGTGTCTGTCTCTGGCCAAACTTCCCCTCTTTACAGGGACACAATCACACTGGTTTAGGGCCCATCCTAACAATCTCACTTAAGCTGATCATCTGGTTAGCCTCTATTTCCAAATAAGGTCATACTCACAACTACTGAGACTTGAACATCTTGTAGGGGACACGCTTCAACCCATAAGGCTCCCAAGGTGGCCAGCAAGCGTAAAGCCAAGACTCAAACCTACCTCTGTCTGTCCATCTTTCTCCTCATAGGTACATTTAGTTAAACTTTTCGTGTGAAAATCCAGGAAAAGTGCACTGCAAACAATCCAACCCCAAGGAGATTGCCTGGGAGATACCACGTCAGACTGAACACTAGAGAGATACTAAAAACTAAATGATTTCCTAGTCCAGTACTTTAATTTTACAAAGGAGGACACTACGGACCAAAGAGGATCAGTAACGTGTCCAAAGTTGGAGAGGAAGGGGCCAGGTCTAGTAGTCAGGTCCCTATAGATGTCCTCTCCAGAGAAAATCTTCCAGTAGTCCTGCAACAGGAAGGTGGTAGGTCCTCACTAAGATCTCCATTAAGATTGAGAAAGAAAACATTTCTTAACTGTAGTTTCTGAATAAAAGCCTCAAACATTCAGCTGCATTGGGAGAATTGTGTTAAGCAAAGCATTCATCTTAAACCAGATAAAGAGGCTGTTATTATTATCATGATCGTTATTATTTTTATTCCAATCCTCAAGTCAAAATGGCCAGGAAGTTCAAAAATGCCACTTTCCTCCCATGTCCAGCCTTCAAGAAAACAGGCATACAAAAACAACCCACAGAAATTGAATCACAGTTTCAGCTAAATACATATTTAATTCCCTATGTATTTTTTATGTTTTGTTTTGTGCAGGACTGTTTACCTACTTAATGGTGAAGTAGAATCTATTGTCACCTAGTTGCTAGGATTTATTATTTTTTTTCTTTTTCAGTCTTGAAGTGCCCCCTAGTGAAGTGTTGTTATATTTAAGAAGCTGAGAAATCACCTGAAAATAAGACTTATAGGAAGCTGAAGAAAATTTTAGGAAAAAAAAAAAAATGGAAGCAAAATGGGTGGTAGAGGGATGACTCCTCTGCTTCAAGGGGATTTGAACATGATTCCTTTAAAATCTATCACTGAGCTCTCTTCTCTATGCACACTCATGTAGACTGCTCTGCAGATGCATCTCAGACACAGGAAGGTCTTGCCATGAGCACACACCAGAAATCCTGCAAGCTGACTTGCAGCGAGGCAGAGGGGAGTGTCCTTTGACACTGACCATAAGAAAGCCAAGGCAGCAAAAGGGTCACCAACACTAGGTTAGTGCAGAGTGAGTTTAGCAAGCATCCTTCACAGAGATGAAATCTGAGGCTTGCCCTCTTATCAATGCAAGTCATGGGGATTTGTGTTGAAAGCAGGCTTTGCTGAGGGAGGAGAGGCAGGGGTTGGAGTAGGTGGGAATTCTCTCTGCTTTCCATTTGATTGTTCTATAAATCTAAGGCTGCTCTAAAAAAATAAAGTTTATTAATTAAATTTTAAAAACACACACACACGACATTTGATAGAGCAAAGAAAACCCAGAGGAAGTGATCTTAAAAAGCAACTGAACATCCGCTTCATGGAACTGGCTGTTTGCACAATGGCCTGTGCATCAGAGTCCTGCAGAGACCTTTCCAAAAATATAAGCTCCCTACCCTCATCCCCAGGGGTTCACATTAAATCAGTTTGGGGTGGAGCAGGCATTTGTTTCCTTTCAGAAGTTCCCCCCTGGACCACCAGCAGCCTGATGTTCAGGCAGAGTTGAGAAAAACACCAAAATGTCCCCTACTGGGACTCCAGGACCTCACCAAGCCACCTTCTGGAAGGTGATCGCATTCCCTTGGGGTCCTACTACAGACAGGAGGGCAGGACTGATTTGCCATGCAGAAGGGATAGACATGCAGATTTTGAGCATGCCCTGTCCCTGGCCTCTCGTGACAAGTCAACAAAGTGGCTTCTGATTGTGGATCTGGTTTTCACTAAAGCAGCTCACAGAAGGATTCAGATCTCCATGTGAACTTGAACTATCAGGGTCATTTTATAAACAGGAATGGGCCACAGAGCAATGCTCCAATGTAGCCTGCACCCCAGCTACAAGGAAGGTAGTGTGGCCCACTGGGAAATGAAATCATACACCCAACGAGGCTGCAGGGGACAGTCAAAGAGCCACAGCAGCACCATGCAAGCCATCGTCCCGGCCATGCCTCTCTCCCCAGCTCAAGCTTGGCTCTAACTGTTCTATCTGCACAGGTCTCAAGGCCCAGCCACTCCCCAACATATTAGCAGGATAGAGGAGGAAAGACTGGTGGGAGACCTTCCCCAACTGTTGATAAAAATGGGAACTTCTCAGCTGTTTTCTCTTTTCCCCCTTTTTGAAGGGAAATCACCATAGGACCCAGCTGTAGATTTGATGTGGAAACAAGCTGAGCTAATACCAGGAAAATGGTGGATAACTGTGGGACTCAAATAATTCTCAATACTCATCTACCAGTAAGAATCACCTGTGGCTCTGATTCAAGATTAAGATCCCTAGCCCCATCTAAAGATGCTATTCAGTAGGTCTGGGGTGGCGTCCAAGAATCAGTTCGTTCATTCAGCACATATTTAACAATGCCAATCTCTGCTCCTGGCCTGGGGTTTTGGTATTAAACAAATAGGCCCTGGCTCTCATGGGGTTTCTATATGAATGGAATCTGCATTTTTAACAAGTTGTTCAAGTATTTCAGGTGCAGAAAGTTCTGGATCATGCTCTTAGACACACTGATCATTCAACATGCTCATGCTACAGACTGGGAAATCGGAGAGCTATAAGAGGAGGGAACTGGCCTTTCTCCTTCCTGCCTGCGGCCCAGTTCTGCAAACATCAACTCCCTCCTCTTGGGCACACTCTCTCTAAAGCCATCCAAACAGTCTGTAGAGGATACATCTGTTTAGATTCATCCTCTACCACTCCAATTAGAACAGAGAAGACACCTGCATTGGCCACTGATCTTATATGTATGGAAACCAAGCAACAGATGGTATCACTGTCTCCTCAGCAGTCGCCCAGCAAACCAACATCAGAGGAAATGAGAACAAGGAAGACTGGGTCCCACCCCCTCGCAGGAACACCCTCCCGGCATAGACTGCTGCAGCCTTCATCCTGTCTCAGGATCCCACATTCACTGCTCTGTGATGTGGTACAGGGGTTTTCATTACTGGAAACTTCTACAAAATGCTGAAAGCCAGGCCTGTGCCAAGATTCTAAATCATTCTCCAGGGGTGGGCTCAGGAATTTGTATTTCAGAAATGCTCCCAGGGGCAGTTCAGATTTGCTTCCAGGCATAGAAGCCACCAACATATAAGGAAGAATACAAGCTTTTAATTTGGATAGACTTGTGGTCAAGCCTCAGCTGTGCTGCCTACTTGCTGTGTGACCTGAGATAAATTGTCTGACTTCTCTGAGATTCAGCTTCCTTGTCTGTAAGACTGAAATAAACATACCTTGCCTCACAGAGTTGGGGGTGAGGAGAAAGCATCAGGAAGTATCTGGAACCTCCCTCGTGCAGTGGTGCTCAATCAACAGAAACTGTCGCAGTTACACCACAGACACTAATGGGCTTGGGAACAACTCAGAATACGACTCTGGACCCACTCATCCTGAAAAAATCACTTCTCTGAAGCTCAGCTTTCTCAACTGAAGATGAAGAAGATAATTATACTAATAAGTGGTTGTTTTGAGGATTGAATGTGTTAATTATCAGAGAACAACACTCTTGGAACTATCCTAGCACATAGTAGGTGCTCAGCAAGTGTTGGCTGCTTTTATCATGTTCAACTTCTGTACCTGTGCTCATTCTATGAATCCTTTTTAAAGACTTAATGAAACTTCCACCTCCTCTGGTAACTCCAGCCAGCTGCAAGACACCACCAAAATGCCGTGGGGAAAACAGAGGCTAGGGAAGTCCATCATCCTGGGTGCAAATCTCAGCACTTCACAATATTATATTCCTGATTGTTTTCTTTTCATCTCAAAAACAGAGTTTTCTCATCAGTAAAATGGGCCTATGGAGTTCTCCAGTTTGGATAATACTTCCATACCCATCCAAGGTAGTCTGAGACCCATGCTGAGTCTTTTAGGAGTTTCTCTTTCCATCCCATTTCCAGGGCCTTTAGGGAGCATTTGCCTGTTCTGAAAAGCAGTCACAGCTGCAGTTTACCAACTGGTCTTCGGACCCCTGAGCCTGTGCCTCTTCTGCTCACACTTGCTTTCTTGAAGTCACATCTTCAAGCCAGGACTCTCCATTCTGCTGTGTCCCAAGCACAGGTAGCACCCTTCCTGGTTTTCCCACATTAGCCTGTGGTGCTTGGTAAGTCTTGATTGCAAGCCTCAGGAAAGCACTGAGAAGTTTACAACTTAAGGAGAAGATGCAGACAGAATTACCAGCTGCCTCCTCACCAAAGTGCACCAGCCTTGCCCCTTCCTGGGAGCCTCCACCGAGAAAGAAAAGAGGAATGAATACTGTAGAGATAAGAGTATGCAGAGGAGATTGCCCGGGAAAAAGAGGGGGCCCCCGCCCAGGAAACACTGAGATGCCCTAGAGCAGGACCACTGCAGAGACCTCTTCAAAGCCCAGTGGCCGCATGAGAGCCAAGTCCTCAACGCCACTAATGCACATCACTGCATTCTGGGCTGTGCAGGACAGGCCAGCTCCTTGGCCACTAGTCCAATTGGATGATGCCTGTCCACACCATGGGAGACTTGGCATCATCCAAATCCCTGTGTAAATGCATACACTGCCCTAAAGAGCCCAAGACACCCATGCCAGGAACATTAAGCTGAAAAACAGCAGGCTGCAAAGATCTTGGGAGGGAACTCAGTACCTCTCCTAGCCAAGGGAGGGGTTAGGATGCCTCTATTTTTTTTTTAAGAGAGAGAGAGAGAATTTCAATATTTATTTTCCAGTTTTTGGTGGACACAACATCTTTGTTTGTATGTGGTGCTGAGGATAAAACCCAGGCCACACACATGCCATGCAAGCGCGATACCACCGCTTGTGCCACATCCCCAGCCCGTAGGATGCCTCTCTTTTGGTCTGAGACAGGCTCTGCTTTTCCCACCCTACAAAGACAAATGTAATTGTACTCAAACAGCCTGTAGCCTCATACAGACTGCAGACAAGGCTCCAGCCTGGGCACTGCTTGGCAGAGGTGCCCTGCCTGGCGCTACCAAGGGGACACTAGCTCCTGGGTAGAACACAATGCTATAGTGGCGGTTCAAGAACATCATGCATTTGGCCAAACCTATAGAACTGGAGGACAAAGAAGGAACCCTAACATACTCTACCCACCTTGGTTAATAATGGTGAACCAATCATTGGTTCATCAATTGTAACAAATGCACCATACCAAGGCAACATGGTAATAACAGGGAAAACCGGGGTGGGAGGGTTGCAGGGGAATGCAAGGTGAACTCTTTTCAATTTTTCTATAAACCTAAAACTATTCATTTTTAAAGTTGGCGGGGAGAGCAGGTAGCCCCCTGAGCTTCCCTTGCAAGGGAACCTGTGTCCTTGGCAGCTGACAAGTCTCCACTGGGTGGACCTCAGAGCAAGAACCACTTTAAACATCAGTCAGGCAAATATAATCACGCTTGACAGGAGAAGCGCACCTGAGCAAACGTACACCTGTGCGCCCGCCCCTTCCATGCCTTGGGCAGCCAGCGGTGCCCTGATACCCAGGCCACGTAACAGGCGCTGGAAAGCGCTGAAGTCCTGGAGCGCAGCTCCGCCCCTGCGGTCAGAGAGGCCCCCACCTCCTTAACCTTAATGAGCGGTAGGATCCTCGCTAAATGCTTCGATTTGCTAGTAAATGAAGCAGCCGGTGGAGGCCCTTTGGTGGGGGCTCTGTACGCATCCCAGCAGCCCTCCGGGCTGGGAATTATTTACTTACAAAGGTGAATACTTTCTCTGGGCTGCTTCCCTGCAGCCGCGCTTCCCCGCGCAGGCTTCCTGATAAATGTGTACAGGAGATCGCAGCCGGGAAGTCTGTACGCCCCATTGGGCGAGCCACCGCCAAATCTATCCAGGGCTGATGAAAGCCACGTCTGCCCGCCCTGACTTAGCCAATTTGTCTGCTCGAGAGGGAAAAAAATTACATTGAAAAGAATGGCCGATTTTAGGACAGAGGCTGCTTTTTCATTATTGTGAAACATTTAGAATAAAGGGATATTTATCACCCTCTGCTAACTGTATTCCACCTTGGTTGCTAAAAATAAGGAGCCCAATGTTCCCTGTATCCTGAAGGTGGCTAGGCTTGCCTTAGCTGAGCTATTGGGAAATTGTGCCACCCAAGTGCGTGCACGTGTGTGTGTGTGTGTGTGTGTGTGTGTGTGTGTGTGTGTGTCCCAGGAGCAGAGCCAAGGGAAATGTCTATACAGTGCCCCCAACAGGTGCCTAAATGAACACAACCACAAGGCCACCATCATGGAAGAAGGAGGGTCCTGGTGGTTTCAACAAGGTGAAAACATCACTAATGTGCATTTCCCCTCTATGCAAGACACCAGACAGAACTGTTCCCAGGAGACTGCAGGTCCTCTCAAGCCTTTGTGTCCTCTCCTCATTCGCCTCCTTCCCTCTGCCCCTCAGATCTTCTAGGTAGTAATGGAATTCTCCAGTCTCTGCTCAAAGGCAAATTCTTACCAAAAGAATTCCAGCAAGGTTTCCCTGCTACTTCCTCTCCCCATTCACTCGCTACCACTCCCTCCTGTCCATGTCTCCCAGTGCACAAGGCCTGTCCTTTAGGAGGCTTCAAGAGATGTCTGTTGACTGGGCAGGTAAATGTAGCAGAAAGAGGTGGCATCATGGGCCTCCTACACAAATAGGGAGAGAATGGTTGCTCCTTAAGTGATCCAGCCATCGTGACATCCCAGGAAAGTGACAGAAGATGCCAGGTGCATCTAAGAACAAAGATCTGGCTTGTGAGCCTATGTCCTTCTGTGGCAGAGCCACATGGCTCTGCCTGCTGTGGCTGGTGGCTTCCTGGTGAGATGGCCCAGCTACTGATTGATGGGCCATCAATAGTTGCCTCCTGGACTAGCAGGTGACCTCTAGCAGTGTGCTTAAGAGGCCTTCCGTCCTGTTCCATTTCTTTGGTTGGATAGGATATATTTGTGGGAAATATCTCAAATTTGTTAAGAACTCAAAATTGGGAGAGATTATTGAATGTCCAAGTCCATAATGACAAAATAATTCTGACTAGTACCAAAATCAGCTGATGAGACAGGCACCTTTAAGAGCAAAGTCCTACACTAGCACACCTTCTAATTATCCTCTCTGTGTTTCAGCTAAATCTTTTAGAGAATCTTTTAAGAACAGTCAAGGAACCCCAACCACTCTGACTGGTTCTTCTAAGCACCTAGAGTAAACATGGCTCTATGACCCTAAACTGAGCTTGCCCAGAAGTAGTGTTGGCCACCTTCCCATTTTGAACTATGACCTTAAACGGAGCATGCTCAGAAATGTGCCTGCCCCTATGTGTGCTCTCCAATGTGAATATGTACACGCTCTCTGAATAAAATCCCTGCTTCTTTGAGGACAGCATTACTTTTTCAGGTAATTCCAGTGCTGTCCTTACTTGCTGAGGGTAATCTTCTTTTGTCCTTTCCTCTCTGGATTGCACTTGTTGGCTTTGCACTTGTATTCTGTGGCCAAAAGACCACTGGGAAGGCACTTAGGGTTGAGTTTATTGAGTCACTGCTACACACCAGGGGAGACTGTGGGCCATCTCAGCCAGACAGTAATGGAAAATTCTTGTTATGAGATTCATGGAGAGGGTTCAAGAAATGAGGCTCTAGTCTGGGGACAGCTGCAAGAAGCAGCAGAGAAGGCCATAGCCCAGGGCACAGGCTCACTGAAAGATTGAGACCTGATTATAGAATGTTCCCTCTCCCTCTGCCTGACACCACCCCGGTCATGGCTGGAGACTCTGGGGTGTCAGGAACAGGGAGTGTTTCTGTGATCAGGTATTCAAATAGTTCCCACCACGGAGGCTGGAAGAGCAGGGCGACCTGAAGAAGTAGCAATCATTTGTCCTGACAGGGGAGGGTTGGCTGGTCGTTTCTGAGGCTTGGGCAATGTCCTCATTTTCTGTGCTCTCAATCTTGTCTTGGTAGTGGCCCCTCAGGGTCCCAGCATGGCCTTGTCTGCTGTTAATGTTCCTTGCGAGTGTTTATGTTTCAGAGGAGAACACCGTGGCCCTGTTTTGAATGCCGGGCTGGCTCCTGGCTGTCAGGCACTTCATTTCTCTTTCTTAACATTATTAGCTGCTGTTATGATTTGGATCTTCAATGTCCTCCAAAAACCCATATGCTAAAGGCTTAGTCACCAGCCTGTGGTGCAAATAGAAGGTGGTGGGACTTTCAGAAGGTGGGGAATGGTGGAAAGAAGTTAGGTTATTGGGGAAATGCCCCAAAAAGAATAATGGGATTCCAGCCCCTTTCCCGCCTCTGTGTCTGTGCTTTCCAACCACCATTAAATGAGCAGCTTTGCTCCACCAAGTGCTTGCCGCCACAGGCCCCAAAACAGCAGAGCCAACTGACCTTGAACTGAAACCTTGGAAACCATGAGCCAAACTAAACTTTTCCTTCTTCTTAAGTTGCTTACCTCAGGCATTTGTCACAGCAACAGAGAATTGACTAATACAGTTACCATTGTTGGAACTCAGAAATCAATACCCCAAATTGTGGGGCTTGTACGTGCAGAGTCTCAGAACTAAGGTCTTCCTAACCTTCCCACTGCCTCCCCTACTCCACTCTCCCTCTCTTGACATCTCTGATCCTCTTTCTCTCCTGAAGGGCAGGGAGAGAATTTCTCCGAAGCTCTCTTTTCTGACTAAGGGAAATTTCCTTTCCAGAAGGAAAGCAATTGTTTTAAATCCCTTTTCTAAGAATATCATGAGAGAACCAAGAAAGTTTAGCCATCAGAGAAGAAAAGAGACTAAAAGCCTTCCGCATGCCCAGATTTCTCCTCTACTCTTCTGAGACAGCTCTGAGAGTTCACTTGGGAAACTTTAATAATAAGACAACATGTTTGCTGTGAAGTCTGCCCCTCACAGTCCTATAATTTGTCACCACCTCCCCCAGAGCAAAGAGGAACTCTGTCCCAGGCCATTATCTGTCCTGTGGGCCTAAAAATCACTTTCTACATCTCTAAATTGCCTGTACCTGTATTTCTCTTTCCACTATGAGAGTGTGAGTTTCTTGTTGGGTTATTGGCACTCATCTCCTGCGATGCCTCATGCATGTTACCTGTATGCTTTTTCTCCAGTGGTGCATTCATTTCAGCAAAAATTAGTGGTAGGGGGTTCCTCATGCCCCTACACTAGTGCTTAGTTTTTTAATATGTATTGAGGATCTACTATGTGTCAGGCACTATTCCAGAAACTAGGAGTACAGGACAAAGAAGACTAACAATGCCCTGCCCTGTGCAGTA